AATAATTTTTCATAGATTGGTAGTTTGTGATCTGTAAACATAATAACCTTTACAGATTTTTTTTTTACTAACACTGTACAGTTTTCCAATAAGAAGAATATGATATCACAAAAACCACCAAACCATGTATCACGCTTCACCACCATAGACAGTTGATACAGTATGAAATAATTTTTTGTACCTATATTTATTTTTTATATTAATGTATAAAGAATTCTGTTCTTCATCAAATTAGGTGGTTGCACCAACCATCAACAACTCTGCTTGTCAGCAGCAACTTAGTGAAGCAGCGAAAGAAGTGGCCAAAGCTGTTGAGAATGTTGTTACAGTTTGTCAGGTTTGTCTTCCTTTTTTTTTTTAACCAATGTTGGAAATGTACTGAAAACTGACAGTTGTAAGTTTTATTATTGTGTATAGGATGGTTTTACAAATGAAATGGAACATGTATAAACTACTTTTGTTAGGATGCTGTACGGGATGAGGGCTTGCTTAAGGAACTTGGGACTGCAGCTACAGATGTTACGCAGTCTCTGAATGATTTGTTGAATCATGTGCGATGTTATCCGGAGCAACATGGACAACCTTCTGAGCATGAAGGGGCTGTAGACACCATACTCGATGCAACTGACAAACTTTTCAGTAGTACAGGTGATGCCAGTGAGATGGTCAGACAGGCAAAGGTTCTTGCCAAGGTATGTCATTTACTGTTTTTTTTTTAAAAACAAACAAACTATTTTTAAATTTGTTGAGACCGTTGTGTAAAAGCCTAGGTTAAATTTGAAATATCTTGCATTAATTATTCTATTTTTTTTTATTGTTACAAAAATATCTGTAATTCAGTTTCGAGTCTACTTAATGAAAAATTTTCAAGAATTGCAATTTGATGATTTATAGAAAGATTACATTTAATACTGTTCTCAATGTAAACCAACTTACTTTGGTACTTTAGACTGTAATAATACCCCCAACTGCTTTGAACATAAAATGGAAATGTTATTATTAAGTAGGTAAACTTATTTATTGGTATTTTAATTCTGTCTGTGTCTAGAATTATTATGAGAAAATTTGTTTTTTTAGGTATAGAACAACTTTGTCAAGGTTTCAGAGTACTCTCTTACAGGTGATTAGTTTGCAACAGCTTAACTTATGGTCTGTTTGTGACTTTCAGGCAACAGCTCATCTTATTCAAGCCATTAAAGGAGAAGCAGAATCTCAGCCTGATTCAGACTTACAGAAACGCTTATTAGCAGCAGCTAAGTTACTAGCAGATGCAACAACACGAATGGTAGAAGCAGCAAAGGTATAAAAATAAGTTGAAAACTTATATTCTGTATCACTCTTTTAAAAATGGTGTACAATCTTGTTTTTTTGTTATTAACAAAGTGTGTGTGTGAAATGTTTGTAAAAGATATCTAAAAATTTTCCTTATTAATGTATCAATTTTTCATTGTTTCTTCTTTTGAGAAACAGTCTTCATAAAGATAATTATCATTTGTTTCTTAAATTGTACTTTTGTATTTTGTTTCTATGTAGGAATTTAAAATTAAGCTAGTCCACTTCGTATATGGACTATATCAAAAACTTATACTCCATTTAGAAATCTTGTCTTGTAAATTAGAATCTGCAGCTTCAACTTTCAAAATCCAAGACAAAAGATATTTAGAATGAAAAAAATATGAACTTTTTAACCTAAAAGAGAAAAATGTTTTCTCCAGTTTGACTATTCAATACTTGAGTTAACTACCATTTTCCATTTGAAGAACTTGTTAAGCTCTCATAAAGCCAATAATTTAGCTAATTAAAACATTAGAAAATCCTAATTCATTATCTACATTAATTATATTTATTTAGTTTTGATTTATATTTACTCTGTCAAATAACCTCTACTAGGGCTGTGCTGGTAACCCAAATGACTCAGAATCACAAGCTGCACTGCGTCGAGCTGCAGAGGAATTAAGAACAGCCACAAATGCTGCAGCCAGTAATGCTTTAAAAAAGAAATTAATTCACAGACTAGAAGTAAGTCATCTTGTTCATACAACTAATATAAGTGTAAAGGAAATTTGTTTTACTTACTGTGTTCTTTTTATATTTAATATTGACTGAAATTACTAATATTGAATCTACAGATAAAGCTTTTGATAAAGTGAAACTGGGAAAAAATATAAAAACTAACAAAAATATTGTTATTTAAATAGCATTACTCATATTGGTACCTTCAAATTGTACATAAGTAGTGCTTTTGCATTGTGTGTGTATGTAATATACGTAGAGTTAATTGTGCTTTATATGAATAATATGTACATGCCAATGCAGAGCCATGTTGCTGCACATGGAAGCCACGACAATATGTTTAGCACTTAGTTTCTTGGTTAATGAATTTCTGACAAGATTACAGTGCACTGTAGCCACAGGCAGGATTATGGCTTGAGGGATGCACCACTGTTTTTCTGATAAAGGTCATCTGTATAGTAAGATTACTAAATGATAAAGAGGTTAAGGATCAATATTTTGAAGTAGAAAGCTTTCTGTGTTTTCCATGGAAGCAGCAAAATTCGTACTATAGTGTTGGACTCTGAAACCACACTTCAAGCCAGAACAGAATTCAAAATTCATACTATAGTGTTGGACTCTGAAACCACACCTCAAGCCAGAACAGCATTCAAAATTCATACTATAGTGTTGGACTCTGAAACCACACTTCAATCCAGAACAGCATTCAAAATTCATACTATAGTGTTGGACTCTGAAACCACACCTCAAGCTAGAACAGCTTTCTAATATGCAAAGTGAAGGCTGTTGTTACGGAAAGGAATCTTCTAAACAAAAAAAAAAGCCATTGTCTGAAGCTGGGCTTATCTCTTGGTACCATTAACAAGATAATAATTAGGTGAAGTTGACAACGGCTTACAAAGCAATAGATTATATGCTTTCATTCACATCTTGAAATTAACAGCTGTTTTCATGAGAAAGAAACTGAAATGTATGGCATTCCTATTCAGCCATACATGTGTCATTTCTGTTTCAGTTGGTCTTGAAAGCTGAAACTTACATACAGTGAGCTGTCTATAGTTGTCAAGAAATTTTTACAATAGAAATTATAGTGTCATATAGATGCATAATCATGGCCACCATACTGAGTTATGTAGGAAGTAGTTTCAAGGTCTTTACGGTGCATGGAACGTTATTTTTATATATTGTACAAAAAAACTTAATAACATAATTTATTATATCGTTAGAAGTTAATGTATTTACTCCTTATTTGGTTTGAAACCGCACTTGTAAACTGAGATTCCTAATCTCATATTATCTCTGAATCAATGTAAGAAACTTGCTGCTAAAAAATATATATTGTGATTAAATTAGATATTTTATATCTTGTTATGCATTTTAGGAAATCATTAGTAACTCGTCTGTTGTAATATTCACTAATACACAGATACTGCATAATATAAATCAAAGATACTCTATGTTGTCAGGTATATGGTCATATATTCCTAGTGCTGATCTTTACATACCTCACTCAATTACAGAAACAATAAAAAGGCTAATTAACCAGGTGTTTTATTACCTACAAAGTGTACTGACTGAGCAGCAAGATTGATAGAGGACTTACTTTTTTTTTCTTTTTTTCTTTTTTCAATTTTCAGCTCATCATAAAGTTGCATGGATGTGTTCTGCTATACTTTCATGTAGAGTTTCAAGCACTGTTGTATGGTCTAAAACAGACTGAAACACATTATTGAAAGTACTAACTCACTGTGGTGTACCATTTCAAGCACTGTTGTATGGTCTAAAACAGACTGAAATGCATGTTGAAAGTACTAAGTCATAGTGTAGAGTTGCAGGCTCTGTTGTCTGGTGTGAAAAATACTGAAGCACATGTTGAAATTACAAGC